CCCCCCCCCCCCCCCCCCGGTCGGGGAAGCAGTGGCACACTTAGAGATCCCATGGATTTCAAACCAGTATCATGTGTTCTCAAAAAGATTGCAGTCATTATTCACTGAAAATCCTCCATGGCATCATTCCTAATCATGGATTTTTCACCTGAAAAAGCTGTAATAAAGCACTCTGTTTATTGAAGTTCTAGGGGATGCCCAAGCACAATGTTACTTCATCAAATGATTATCCCTAAATTTCTTCTCATTTCAGAGTAGGAAAATTGACAGGACATGAAAATGTTGACACGAAATGTCAGCATCACTTGCATTGACAAGAGAAGCATACCTGTGCAACTATTCCACTATCAAGGGCCCTCACTAATGCATCTTCGTCAATAACACCACCCCTTGCAACATTGATTAAGCGCACTCCCTTTTTCATCTTTGCAAAATTTCCTTCATTGAATATTTTGTTAGTAGTAGGAGTAAGAGGCATATGGAGTGAAACAAAATCTGCAGTGGAGATGGCCTCATCAAAGGAGACCAAATCCACACCAACAGCACGGGCTCTATCAGCTGGGGCATATGGGTCATGTGCAATAACATGCATTCCAAGGCCTTTAGCACGTCTGGCAACTTCAGATCCAACTTTTCCAAATCCCATGACTGCTAATGTCTTTCCAACCAGTGAGACACCGACATACTTGTTCCGTTGCCATTTTCCTGCATAAAAAAAATCACCATGTAAAACCATAAATTTGATACCTTGATCTAAAATATATCAAATGATTAGGCTTAATCTCAACCATTCAGCAATAGAAAAATATCAAGGCAAAGTAATATATATTTTACTTTAGCCACATAACTTTGAATTCAACAGCATAATATCTATACAACCAACATTACATCCCATGATGGATCTATTGCGGAACAATTGCCTCTTAAATTATGGAAATTACATCTTATTATATTATTGTCGTCTATGAAATAGTCTCAAACCACATTGGCTCACCCTTAGATTTGATCATGAATTTAAATTACCATCCCAAGGCTAAACTTCTGGATCCATGAATACATCGACCAAAATGAACATGCGCACCAATTTCGAGGATGACCATGAGAAATTGGGTCTTAGTTTGCGGAGGATGAGTACTATACAAAAGCAATACTTTGAAGAATGTTGTTTTTGGTTTGAAACTGAAGCCAATGGTCTCACTTGTTTGGAAAGGAACTCAGATAGCTAATTACCAACCAAAGTGTACAATTAAAAAACACCCCCAAATGACAAATAATAGCCTCAAGTACGATCACCTAGAAATACAGACGCGGAAATTCAAGTTTACAGATATGCAAAATGACCGATGAACATAGAGAAATGCAATTATATGACACAATTTCCATACTAAACATAATTCATAGCTAGATCTGTCATCATACTAGAACAATAATTTCATATGAATAAAAGAAAATAAATGATTAAGAGAAATCATATACTCAACCAGATTTCATGGAGGCATCGGCCTGGGAAACATTACGAGCCATGGCAGCCATCAAAGCAATGCCATGTTCAGCGGCAGCAATAGTATTCGCAGTGGGAGCATTAACAACGAGACAACCAAACTCCGTCGCGGCCTGCAGATCCACATTGTCAATCCCAACACCGGCTCTTCCCACCACCTTCAATCTTCCCTTGGCGGCCTCGAACACCTGACGAGTTACCTTCGTCCCACTCCTCACAATCAACGCATCACACAACGAGATCTTTGAACACAGCTCCTCCGAAGACAAATTGTACGAACAATCAACATTCCCGAAGCTACGGAGCAGGTCGAGACCAGCCTCTCCTAGTTTCTCGGACACGAGGATCGTAGGCTTGGAGGTTGATATTACAGATTCGAGATCTCGAGTTTTGGACCTCGATATGTCGATCGATTCCACAGTCTTGAGGACATTGGTGGTGATGAAAGTGGCCTTTTCAGAATGGGAATGGGAAATGGAAATGGATTGGGCGAGCTTGAAGGAAGTGGATATGGAGGAATTGAGGAAAGAGAGATTGGATAATTTGTCGGTGGAAGATGAAGAGGGAGGTGTGAGAACGATGGATTTTGGTGTTGTTGCAGAACAAGTGGAGGCCATGTTTTTCTTGTGTTCTCTTCTTCTCTGTGTATGTAGGAGAGAGAGAGGGAGGGAGAGAGAGAGAGTTTTGGTGGGATCTCAAAAGTTTTCGGGGGAACTATTAATAAACAGTTTGAATTCCCAATTTGGGAGTAGGTACCGGAAAATTATTGTGGTTATATTGGTTTTACTTTTATACCCTTCGTTTTGGAGTAAACTACATAAATTGGGCTCGAACTCTACCACTTATTTCAATTAAGTCCTTAAACTAAATTTTATGTCAATTAAGCCCCTCAACTTTGTAATTCGATTCCGTGTGAACTTTCCATTCAATTCGGTGGAATTAATATCGGAACCAAGGGCACAAATGAAAAATCATATTTGGCAAGGAAGAAAAATAAAAATAATGAAAAAGTTGATAGATTAGCTTTTCTTCGAATTCATCAAAATCAAATCCTCCAAAATTTGAAGAAAAAGTTAATGAAAAGTTAATAATGTGTGTTTAAATGTATGTTATTTGTTTATATATCTTTTGATATATACATATATCATATTTATTAAATACACATTATGTATACACTAATTTCATAAATAGATATAATGGTAAAATATTTATTTATACTTTTTTTCAAAAAAAATTAAAAAATAATTTTTTCATCTTACTAAATACAAAAAAAAATAAAAAATCAATCCTTCATATTTTTCTATCTCTCTCATCAAACTCAAATGAGAGAAGTAAAAATTCCTCCCCTAAATGATATAAAAGTTTCATAAATAGATATAATAGTAAAATATGTATTTGTATTTTTTTTTAAAAAAAATTACTTTTTTCATCTTACCAAACACAAAAATAAAAAATAAAAAAATTCAATTCTTCATATTTTTTTATCTCTCTTACCAAACATAAATAAAGTAAGTAAGGATTCCTCCCTTAAATAATAGAAAAATGTATAACTTCCACTTTTTACTTTTCGATTATCCTATCAAACGGACCATTATTCTTTCTACGAGTAAGACTATCCATACACCCAAACACTAATGTTCTCCTTCATATATCTCTCCCCTTGAAAAGATAAGACCAAATGACCAATGATGTTTTTCTTTCCTTTTGAACCCTCTAATCATCTCCCTCCCACCATTAGAAACTTACACTTGACACACCATGATTCCTTAAATAAGCTTGAATTCTTCCACATCAATCTTCCATGTGATGTCATCCTTTCACGACTCTGTACCAACTCAACATTTTGCTGCACGTGTTGGTGGGAGAGAAGAAGATTGGTGTTTGGATGTAGGGATCGACTTTCTCAATGTCATGAATTTTCATTTGTGTCCTTGGTTCCGTTATCAATTTTAATAGAATTGGACGGGAGGTTTACATTGAATCAAATTACAAAATTGAGGGGCTTAACTGATATAAAATTTAGTTTAAGGGTTTAATTAAAATAAGTAACATAGTTTNTTTACATTGAATCAAATTACAAAATTGAGGGGCTTAACTGATATAAAATTTAGTTTAAGGGTTTAATTAAAATAAGTAACATAGTTTGAAGGACTATTTATGTAGTTTATTACTTCGTTTTGCCTAATAGTAGGTTTTACCAACCTAGTCTACGGTTTGTTTTTTATTGTATTATTTAAATTTGTTTTGAAAATTAGTTGGATTAATTAAACTAAAAGTCTCCAAAGTATGTGACTTATTTCATTTTGGTCTCTAATAATTCAATTGCATCATTTTGATCTTTGAAGTATTGAATATTTATATAATAAAGTAGCTTACAATTCAAATCTCAAAAGATAAATAAACTGACTTTTCTATTCGCGGTTGAGATCGCNTGCATCATTTTGATCTTTGAAGTATTGAATATTTATATAATAAAGTAGCTTACAATTCAAATCTCAAAAGATAAATAAACTGACTTTTCTATTCGCGGTTGAGATCGCTTTAAATTTTACTTTAAAGTTAATTTAACGACTAATATTAACATCCTAAATTTAATAGGAAAAATAGGCTCCTAAAGGTGTGTTTAGAGTAACTTTTTAAATATATTTTTAGAAATTATTTATCATAAATACTTTAAAAAAAATAGTGTTTAAAACTGTCTCACCACTACCTTTACCACCACCGCCACTATTGTCGTCGCCGCCACCACCACCACCTCCACTGCCACCGCCCTCAATGTCACCCTCGCCGCTACCACCCCCACCACTGCTGCCACCACCGTCACCGCCCCCCATTACTATTACTGCCACTGCCACCACCATCGCCGCTGTCGTTGCCACCACCACCACAATCGCAGTCTTCGCCGCCACCACCACCATCGTCGTTGTCGTTACCACTGCCACAACCCCCACCGCCACCACCCCCATCCTTACCACCGTTGTCACCATCCTCACCACCATTCCCACCCACCACACACCATTACCGTCTTCCTACCACCACCATTGTCGCCCAACACCTCTCACCCCCTACTACAAATCGATACTTAAATTTTTTTATCTCTTCTCTATGTTTGTAATTTGATTTTAGAAATGAATACAAATATTTTTATTGTTTATCATTTTTTTGTTACTTTGTGCCTTCAAACACAAACAATAACTAGTATTTCTATATAATCCCTTAAGCAGGTAACGTCCAGATTACTAACAATTTTTTTTATCATAAATTTGTCACGTGATATTAAAATATGGACAAAAATATAATTTTGATAATTTTTGACTAAATTTTTACTCAAATTTTAGTTAAATAATTACCAAAATTACATAATTTTAATCATGAACTGTTCAAATTTTAGTCAAAAACTACTCATATTACATATTTTTTGTCAAGACCTACCCAAATTTTGTTTAAGAGCTATTAAAATTATTTTTTTATCCATATTTAAGTATTATGTAATAAATTTATGATAAAAAATTGTTAGTAATCTAAAAATATTCAATACTTCAGAAATCAAAATAATGCAATTGAAATATTAGAGACTAAAATGAAACAAACCTCATATTTTTGGGACCTTCAATACAATTAACCCAAATTAGTTAATTTTAATTAAAAAATTTAATTAATAATATTAGATGTCCTTATATTAATTACATCATATTTGGATTGTCATACTAGAAACTTCATATTATGACCTTATTCCGTTTAAATTAAACTCATCACTCCAAGATTCTCATAATTAAGAATTTACTTGATCCATATGCTACTAATACCCACATAAAAAAAAACATCAAAACTAGGTAGGTGTTGAGATAATACATTTGGATATTTTTTCATAGGCTGGGGGCTATTCCAACCCCATTTAATTATCTTACTTCAAATTACTAAATCACCCTATTTATATTCACCCCATTAATTATTAAGTTCACCTCATTTATTTTGATATATTTTGACTAATATTTTAAAAAAATTTAATTATTTTATTCTACTTCTAAAATATTTTCGTACCAAAATAATATACTGAAACGAAATTTTGACCATTGACTGTATAGTATGTTGAAATAAAATTAAATGAATTTAATTTTTAATTAGTGAATATAGAAGGAGTGGGTCTAGTAACTAATAGATTAGTGTAGATGAGATGAACTTAATAGTTTAAAGTAAAATAATTAAATGTTAGAAAAAGAGATTTAAGGGGTAAAATTAGTCTCACCCTTTGTCATACAGTACTAATTAAGATGTTTGTCTATAATTGAATTATTCGAGATGGTGGTCTAGTGGTAAGTTGTACACGTTTTATGGTTATCTCTGACTCTCATGTTGTTATCAAACATAGTTCTATCTACATGAGTAATACGATTTGCTACTTGACTTTAATGGTGTTATGGTGACATACAATCCTTTCATGTTAGTTATTATGATTCAAATTGAATATTTTATAGCAAAAAAGGCCATCATGATCATGATCAATAAAGATTACTACTGATCGTCCATGTCCCCATATAAAAAAAAAAAAAAAAAAAAGAATTATTCGTGTTTTTCAAGCTATTATCCAAAATTAATTCACCATAATCTTTTAATTTCTTTTTGGATCGGTATTGTACAAATGTATTGCGTGAAAAACTATAGCGTAAGCCTGGGTTTGATTTACTGATTTAATCTGTTGATATAATTATTTGTAATTATTAAATTGATAATAAACTTAAATTCAAATCATTTTATTATTTATAATTTGAGTAATGCTATTAATATAATTTATTGATTTAATTTGCTGACCTAATTCACTATGTCCTTTGAATTGATTATGGGCTCCATCAAACATTAAAATTTGGTATTAATTTAATGATTTCAATAAAATCACGTCATTATATCAATAAATTATGTTAAATTTTTAAGTCTTAATAATATTTTTTTTATAATTTAATTTAATGTTGTGTGACTTTGCAAGTCGTTGGTGTCAGAAACCAAATAGCATGGGCCTACCAATGACCCCGCCACCTGCAACCATGTCTTCTTATTGGATGGTCCACCTCATCGATGATTGGTCAAGTCGTGTTTAAAAGGACAAGCGGAACTTTTGATCTAATGGTTGGTTTGGTACGAAAGATGGAATAAAAGTAAAAAAAATAAGGTTTTTATAAAAGAAAGTTATTTATTAATTATTTTTTTGGTAGGAAGAATGAAAAATAAAAGAGATATATTTTTTATTATTTGATATTTGATGAAAAATGAAAGGAAATAAAACACATATATGCCCAATTTATAATTTTACCCTAAAATATGTTTTTCACTCTAATAAATAAAGGGTAAAAAAGTAAATTTAAAAATTTATTGTCTTGAATTCACTTTTTTTCTCTACTTTCTGCCTAAATTTGAGCTGAAAATATTTGGTGGACTGGAAGAATAAAAATTTTCTTCCACTTTCCACTCCCTCATACTTTCCTTTGGTACCAAACCATAGAAAATATATTTCTCTTACTTTTTATTTCTCTTACCAAACAAAAATAAAAAAAAATAATTTTTTTTCTTTAATGATGAAAACTTTATTCTTTTCACTTTTCTTTTCTTCTTCTTTTTCATCTTTCCTACCAAACTGACTATTTATTTCCTTCCACACGTTTTTCCGCCATACAAAACACACTATAAATGTGAAAAAGATCAGAGAATATCTATCAATCATGATCACCACCCTCCATATCTTCCAAGATGAGGAGGAATCAACGGCCTGCAGTGATCATGATGTTGTTGTGTTGGGTGAGTCATGTCGTATTGTATTTTTAATGAACTAAATTATTATATTACATAGTCAGATTCGTATCATGATTGCTTTACTTAAAAAGAATTGTTGAATTGATTCGTTTATCAATATTTTTAATGAATTTGTTTATCACTTGAATTTATTAAAATTAAATTTAAGGATTAATAATTTTTTTATCATTAAAATATATTTATTTTATCAATTTAATCATCAATATATTAATTTGGTCTATCAAATTTTTAATTCATTTTTAAATAATCTCTACATAGATGGGTCGTTTATTTTATGATAAAAATAACCACGTATCATTATTTTAGACAACATCACGTGATCATTTTCATAAAAAATTTAATGATCTATCTGGGACAGACCCTTAGGTTAGGCAATTGAGAGTCATTGGCTAGGGTCCATTTTTTGTGGGCCTCAATTTTTTTTGTGAAAATTGGAAGTGTTAGGTGACATTTATATCCATATATAGGTTAGGTGACATTAAAAAAAAATAGTAACATTCAAATATTAAAAAAGAGTTACTATGAATTTGAATCGTAAAATTCAAATTCATGTTATTTTTTTTTTTATTATGTTACTGTTCATATTATTGTTTTTGTTGAGTATGTTACTGTTCATGTACTATTATTTTTGAGCATGTTACTGTTTTTATTGACCATGTTACTACTATTATTTTTTTATTTATTAATAGTCAATGTTACTATTTTTTTTTGAATATTACTATTTTTTATATTTGAATGGTACTATTTTTTGCATTTGAATTTGAGAGAAATAATTATTATTAAATATGTTACAGTTTTTGTTAAGCATATTACTATTTTTGTTGAACATGTTAATATTTTTGTTAAACATGTTACTGTTGTTATTTTTTTTAAATATTAATATTGAATGTCTAAATTTTTGTATGTTTATATGTTACTATTATTTTGTATTTAAATGTATTATTTTTTGTGTCCAATTGATAACTTTTTTTTTTATATTTGAATGTTACTATTTTTTATTTTTAATGTTACTATATATATATATAGATAAGAGAGAAAAATTTTTAATGTTAGTCAAAATTTTAATTTATATGTGGATATAGATAGATACGAGAGAGAAAATATTTTAATGTTAGTCAAATTCATAAAATTTAAGAGTTTTTAATTGACGATTTCATAGATTTAATTTCTATTAAATGCAAGTCAATGGTACCCCTGGTTTGTATATGTAAAGATTATTTAAATATAAATTAAATATTTTAATAATCAAACTAATAAAATTAATATATTAAAAACAAAATTAATAAAATGAATATATTTAAAGATTAAAAATGATATTAATCCTAAATTGAAACGCACTAAATTTATAAATAAAGTATAAAGTTGTCAGACCTTTATAACGTTTTTTTGTTTTGGGTTTAAAGTGATGAATGAAATGATTTTGTCTGAGACAATCTAGTATTCATGTGATAGAATTAAAATTAAAAAAATAAGTGAACCTGGACCTAATTATAGGTGAGATACCGACAGAGCCACCTACTCAGATAATTTGTGTGTGTGTGTGTAGAATTGATTGTTTCTTTTTTGTTGGAACCACACTTTTTCATGATATCAGTTGTTGCCCTCTCATGTCATGACTCAGCTCCTTGGCCATTAAAAGTGACTACCATTAATCACTCTCAAATCTTGTTACAGTCCAAAACTGTAGGTAGAATCCAAGAATAGTTCTATGCTTCAACCATTTTCTTTCGCCCAAAAAAAAAAAAAAACCATTTACAATGATGAATCAAGTAAACAAAAATCAAAAAAACAAGAAAAGGAAGAAAATTTTATTCACCGGATACAATTCAGGTGTCTTTTCACATCACAGTGCACTTGTTGTCTAATCTAATATGTTATACATTTGGGATAGGGGCGCAATGATAAGGTTATTCTATAAAGTCATGGGTTCAAGTCTCAAAAACAAACTCTTGTGTACATTTAACTCTCTTTAGACCCTGCAATAGTAAAAGTCTCGTGCACTCGGTATGCCTTTTTTTACCTGGAGTAGGCAGTTGTTCATCTAACTTGCCTGATTTACAACGTCTCCACAAACCTGTGGATTGTTAATGTAATTTGAAATTCCACAATGAATATACAAGAACATTTACTGATATGCAGATGGATTTAACATGTGAAAGAAATTATGTTCAGATGTTGACAACTAAACATGATATACATTCCCCCTAGTGATGTTTGCATACTTCAACAAATTGACATTTTTTGTCAAATTCTGGCAGAACTGCATTGAAATTATCATGTATGTATTGATAGCTCTAACAATTCTAATACCAACATCCCTTTCATTAGTCAAGCAAAGTAAAAACAGCTGCACAAGAATAGATGAACTAGCACAAAGAGTAAAAAAAAAGAACAAGAAGTAGTACTTACACTAACATAAAAAAAGATGTTAATCTGCTATATAATACGGTGCAGGGCACTTTCAAAGTTAGCGAACCCAATTTATCATTTGAATGACTTAGCTGACGACCATTTATGACTGAAGAAGGACCACTTCAACATCATAATCTGCACTAGTTTTGGAATCAACCATATTTGCAGTTTAGATTGTTTCCATATCATTAACATCATAATCTGCAAAACCCTGTGAATGAAAACAAAATGTACATAAACATCAACAAGCATCACTTTTTCTGCATCAAGCGACATTACTTTTGGTCCTTTGGAAGTCACGGTTGCTGAAAATCTTCTCATCAGGAATTAGACTAGCACTCAGTTTTGCAAATGCCTACATAACATCAAGCATTCTTGCAGCAAGTAGTTGAGGAGGAAGAACACAAAAGACCCAAAGGAAGAAATTTATGTCAGAATTTGCTGCTATGTCAGTCTATGGAGTAGTAAGATTCCAAGGGCAATTGAACTTCATGTTTGGCATTCGAAATTTGCGAACAATTAAGGTTATTCATACTGCCCTCATGATTTTACTTTGTTGTTGTAATTAACAGTTAACTAGCCCTGGCTTTGATAGTTCATAAGCTGAACAAAGACTCTCTGTTCTTTCTAGCACCATAACACACAAAGCCATGCACATGGAAGTCCAGTACAACCTAACAAACTACTAACAATATAAATTAGATAAACAGCCTGTGTGATGTTGGTAATCTTACGATTCTTAACAAGTTAATGTTGTTGCAATATGCTAGTAGTTTAAGGTTTGGAACAAGGACAAACACGTTCTTATTATGCATTATTTGGTTTGAATGAATGAATCAGCAAAATTACATTCTCGAGTGAGTCTTCCTTGTACCTCCCTAAACATATGAGTACATATCACAAAATCAGAACAGAATGTACAAGTAGCAGGCTAGCAGATTAGCAGCCTAAGTTCTCTATTTCATTCTCTCTTTGAGACAGAAGTACATACCACAGAAGAGGCCAAAACAAAATCAGAGCAGAATGAACTAGTAGCAGGCTAACAGATTAGCAGCCATAGTTCTCTTTGGCACAACAGGGTTAGAAATCAACTCTTATCTCGTTCTCTCTCTGAGTATCTTCATACCAACATACCTGCCAAAACAAACCAACAAATTACCAAGCCATCACAGTAGTCAAGAACACACATCCAACAAGAACTTTGAATTCAACGCAAACAAACTCTTACCGTCCTAGCATCAGAAGAGTAGCCTGAGGATTGGTCCCTGGCGATACAGTTAATATGGAACCATCAACAATTCGAAGAGCATCAATCCCAATAACTCGGAAATTGCGATCTACCACCTTCCCCACAAGGCAGCCACCATGGTAGTGCCAAATTGTACTCACTGTGCGGCGGCAAAAATCCCCCATCACCAGATCATTTGATTGATCAACAGGCAATTCAGGCCCAACATATCTGAAATCACTCCCAAACCATCCCCTGAACCTGAAATCCTCCATGGAACGGCTCCTCAGTACATCACCAATCCTACGAGTCCCATTAACACACTTCTCCAAATCAACCGGATTACTGAAGTAATTGAAACGGACAATTGGATTAACCCTCACATCTGTGGATGCCAACCTGAGCGAGCCCGTGGAGAGTGGCCCACTAATCTTCTCCATAAGGGTGGCTACAGTGAGAAACAGTGGTGAAGTTGGATACCTGATAAAAACAGAGCGAGCAGGGGAAGCAAAAGGAATGACATTGGAGGCTGCTTCAAGGTAAGTCCCTGAATTGGTGATACCCACAACTTGTATGAGAGAGTGCTCCAGTGGCATCGGTGGCACAATTGAGATGCCATTTCTGGGGTTATCATACAGATACTGTCCAACATAAGGCGAGTGATGCGCCACTGGAATTCCCCACGAAGAGAGGTAAGGCCTTGGCCCAATGCCACTCAAAAGCAGAAGCTGAGGGCTACCAAGAGTCCCTGCAGAGAGAAATACTTCACCCTTTTCACGTACCATTGCGTGGTGGTAGTTTCCTATCTGGTCTCGAAAAACAACCCCAATTGCGGATTGCTTCGACACAGAATAAGTGGAAGAAGAGGCTATCAGGATCCTTTCAACACTTGCATACACAGCCACTCGAATATTGGAAGGTTTCGCGTAGCTGAGAAGATCAGCGGCACTGTGTCTACGACCAGAGCTATCAAATGTAGAACCACCAATCTTGGTACCCACTACATGATCCAAACTAAACCCATTATAGGGATCGACTCCGGCCTCCAAAAGCCCATCTCTCACTGCCGATTGCCAATTCTTGAGCTCTGGTCTAAACACAATAGCCCTCTCAACCCACTCATAGGACTGGTTCACCACTCGGGGGTCCAAATTCAAACCTGATCTTCCATAGAATTCTTGATCGGCTCGGCTGTAGAACCCGGCATTAATGGCACTGCTACCACCAAGAATCCGGCCTCGGGCGTTGGGGACGCCATCTTCGGAAGTGAAGGCTTGAGCAGGGGAGTCAAATGAGTCGACGTCGGTGAGACTGTTAAGAAAGCCTTCTTGGGTCATCAGATTAGGCTTTCCATTAGGAACACCGCCTCTTTCAAGCAACAATACCCGATAATTCTGAGATAAAGTTGCCGCCAGTGGACATCCGGCAGTGCCGCCTCCGATGATGATGTAGTCGTAGTAGTCCTCCGATGGGAGTTCTGTAGCGTTGAATACAAAACCCAGATACGCAGGACCTGTAAACACCAAGAAAGATTGATTGAATAAGTCAATGGGATCACTAAGAACTCGATAAATAAGAAAGAAGAAAAGAAAAACAAAAAAGTTCTTTAAAATCAGTAAGAAGGTTTCATCAAGAAAATTGGGGGTCTTGAATTCAATTGCATAATTACTTTGTTGTAGCTCTGCTCTGGCGAAAGAAATAACAGTGAAGATCATAAAGAACACGAGATATGGAGAGGAAAGGTTAGTGGGTTTTGCCATCGTTTGTGATGTGATCAAGAAAGCTAGGGTTTCTTTGGGTGTTCTTGGAAGAAAGATTCAACAGAGAGAAAGGAAGAGGCAATTTGAGTCTTGAGATTTACAATGACATCGTACACATTGGGTTTCCGATGAGGTGCGTGTGAGTGTGTGTCTGAGAGAGAGAGAGAGAGAGAGAGAGAGAGAGATAGAGAGGCGGTGGGAATGTGAATTGGGTTTGCAGAGAGGAGTGCAGAGTAGAGAGGAGGACAGTTACTTTTTGGTGGGAAATTCAGTTGGACTATGGTTTAGAGTGAAGTAAATTAACGGAGGTTTCTAACTGTTTCTCATGCCGTTAACAAATGATCTTCACAAAGGGCGCATCTTTACTAAAACAAACAATTTTCCCCTCTGAATTAATTTGGTGGCTTCCTTCTTCCTTGAAAATGCAATTATCCACTATCACATTATCTAACCGTTATCACATCCACCTTCTTATCTCATAACTTTTTTTTTCTATTTCAACCTTGATGTAAAAAAAATGTTTATATAAAATCAATTAAGGATGAAGTAAATAAGACTCAACATAAATAAACTTAAAAATTAGATGGTTTGGTCTGCGTGACCTACTCAGGAACGATGATAGTAGCCGGAGAATATTATTATTCAAGAGGTATAGTGTTCTGAGATATGTGTGATGCCCCTCATATATAGGCGGAGCTTACAATTTATAGGCAAATGAAGTTGGGTCCGAGAGACTTTGATTAAAGCATCATCCTTGTAAATGATTCTATGAAACTTGACTTATCTCGTAATGTGTGAAGTGATTTCGCGAGATTGGCAAAATGCCCTTGGTGATTGCATCTCCACAGATTCTCTCTCCTCGGATGGAGATTCTCACATGTGGTGATGATAGGTTGAATTTCTCATAAAGGTGGGTTTGACCCAATTGGAATTGTGTCTGAGCCTTTATTAGACTCCATCTGTGATATGGTAGATTCATGAATCATGCAAACCCAACGACCCTCTTCTCTATATAGCTCTCAATCTCTATGATTTTTCTGTACTTCAACTATTGATACTCATAACTCTATTTTATTTTCTTTCAAAATTCTTATTTTGTTATGTTTATTTTCTACTATGACTTCCTTTTTTTTCCCTTTTTTCTACAATGATTGGTGCTCTCATGCAAACTTCATTCGACAAACAAAAGGTATGGGTTCCATTTATCTCTAATTTTGGTCTTGATTTGTATGTGCCAAGTTTTTTTTTAACCCATAATTTATAAAGAAAATTTTGATAATAACCTTGCACTTGATTTTACTTTAATTCTAAGAATAGATAGATACATTTCAACTTTATACTTGACCATGCATCAGACAGGGTCAACATTAATACCATATATTTTATTAGTTATTGCCCATATCGGAAGGCACGGAGTAATAAAAAATATGATCAACGATAAATATATTTGTATTCACACCTAAAATCAAATCACAAATATAGAGGAGAGAAAAAAGAATTTAAACACCGATTTGTAATGGAGAGTGAGCAGTGATAGTGAGAGTGGGTGGAAGTGTTGTTGGTGGCAGTTGTGGGTGGCAACGATGATGGTGGCAGTGGGTTTGGGTGATGATGGTAATAGTAACAATCGTAATAACTGTAGTGGTTGCGAGTGGTAGTGATGGGGCGACGATGATGGTGGTGGTGACGGGCAACGACGGATGCTTTCTAGACGATAGTGTGATGGGTGGTGGTGAATGACGACGGTGGTGGTGGTGGTGGTGGGGTGGGTGTTAGTGGCTGACGACAATGATGGGCGACAACGGATAGTGATGGGTTTATGGTAGTGCGAAGTGGTGGGTAACAATGGTGGTGGCGGGCGACAGTGGCAGTGGGATGATGGTTTTAGTGGTAATAAATATAAAAATGAAATGACGATGGTGATGGGTGGTAGCGGTGGACGACAGAGGTAGCAATCGATGGTGAATAATGATAGTGGTGACGGTGGGGCAATGCGGTGGCGACAGTAAGGGTGGCGGCGGTGATGGGGTGACAACAATGGTTGTGGGGGTGGTAATGGTGATGGTCGTGGGGGGGTGGTGGTGGTTGTAGGGGTAATCGTTGAACAGTAGATATTGTGGTAGAGTGGTGACAACGACAGTGGTGGTGGAATGACGAAAGTGGTAGTGGCAGTGACAGTGGTGGTGAAATGACAATAGTGGTAGTGACAACGATGATGGTGGTGGTGGTGATGGTGGTGTGGCGGTGGTGTTGATGGTTGTGGCAGAGGTGGTGGTGGCAGTGGTGATGGTGGTGGGGGGTGGGATGGGGTAGTGGGGGTGAGGAGGTAGTGTTGATGGTGGTGGGACGGTGGGGGTGGTTATGGTGAGGCGATTCCAAATATTTTTTTAAATACTTATAAAAAGTTATAAATTTTAAAAGCATTTTTAAAAAATCATCTTAAATACACCCTTAGAGCCTATTTTTCCTATTAAATTTAAAGAGTTAATATTAGCCACCGGATTAATTTTAAAATAAAATTTTAAAAAAATCTTAACCGTGAAAAGAAAAAGTCATTTTGTTTATTTTTTAAGATTTGAATTGTATTGTACTTTATTATATGAACTAGTTATTTTCCGTACTTGAAAGCACGAAATAATTAAAAAAATGATCAATAATAAATATATTTGTATTCACATCTAAAATTAAATTACAAAAATATATAAAAAATAAATGAATTTAAGCACTGGTTATAGTGGGAGCGAATGGTGATAGTGATGATGGGCAGCAGTGGTGGTGGTGGAAAGGGGCGAGCGGTGGTAGTGATGGTGGGCAATAGTGGTGGTGGTAGGAGACAATGATAGTTGTGATGGATGATGACAATCAATTGTAATTGTGGTAGCTATAGGTGACAATGGTGATGGCGGTTGGGGGACAGTGGGGGTGATGTGGTAGGGGTGATGGTGGAATAGTGACGATGGTTGTAAGGTGGCGACAACAAAGAGGGTGGTGGGGCACTTATAGGGTGGTGGTGGTGGGGTGATGATAGTGGAAGTGGTGGAGTGGTGGTGGTGGTGGGGTGACGATAGTGGAAGTGGTGGGGCGGTGATTATTGTAAAAGAGGTGATGGTGGGGGTGGCAATGACGGTGGTAGTGGGGGCAATGAGTATAGTAAGGTAGTGACAGCGGTGGTAGTGGTGATTATTGTGGTGGTGGTAAAGGTATTGGTGAGACGGTTTTCAAACACTATTTTTTTTTTAAGTACTTATGAAAAGTTATAAGTATTAAAAACACTTTTAAAAAGTCACCCTAAACACACCCTTGTGATCTTATTTTCTATATTAAATTTGGAGTATTAATATTAGCCGTCAGATTAACTTTAAATAAAATTTTAAAAAGTCTTAACTGCAAATAATAAAAATTATTTTATTTATCTTTTGAAATTTGAATTTTATTGTATTTTATTATATAGATATTCCCAATTTTAGCTTGTTTATCAATTAAAATTAAAACTGTGGTACCTATTTGTAATTACCAAATTTTTATATGTCCCACCTTTTAAAAAAAAATTCGTTGTCATATATGCTATTGAATTTTCTATATTAGTAGTAGAAGTAATAACTGGTTTTCTTACCCAAAAAAAGACAATAAATTAATTTTATGCACTCTTTTCTTTAAGGGTTCATTTGTTTAGGAGGATCATGATATAAAATACAAGAAAAAAAATTAAATTCTTTATGTGTTTGGTTAGTATGAAATAAAAAATGATGAAAAAAAAATAATTTTCTTCTATATACTTAGATTTTCTAACAACTAATCAACTTTTTTTTTTTCTTGTAAAAAACACAAGTAAATGCACGAATTTTGTGACCTATAACCAATTTTATATTCTACCCTTATTTTTCTTAAAATATTTTATTGGTTATTAATTTTAAAAAATTTTGATATAAATTTGGTTAATCATATAATTTGATCAAGTGTTGGTGCTTGTCCCAAAATTAGGTTACGAATCACTTTTTTTTAATTATTTTTAACTTGTAATTATAATAGATATTTTTTCTTCTATAGACTAATTTAATATAATTAAGGGTAATTTATATAATTTTTCTTGTAACTTTCCTTTCTTTTAAACAATAAAATGATTTTTTTTTTAAACTTTCTCATAAATTTTTCATGTTAACTAAATATATACATAAAAATATATTTAATTTCATTTTTTTCACTTTTAATATATTTTTATTATATTCACTTTCTATCATTTTCAATTCTATGGTGTATTTCGCTAAACTAGATTTTATTAGTAAAGATTAGAATAAAATATGAGAGCAACATTATTATCTAAAATCATTCATATTATGAGAGCAATTAATATAATTCATAAGTAAAGAAGATTTCATTCAGAATTCATAATAATTACATCATCTAAAAGAATATGTCAAACCATGACAATTACATCCTCAAAAATTAACTATTAACTTGCTGCGAAATAACAAAAATATTAGATTTCACATTGTCTCAAAATGAATCTTTTAGTTTAGAACATAAAAAGAACAATTCTAAACATTCCCCTCCAGATCCACATGTCCATCAACTTGAGCTTCCTAAATCACCTGCTCATCAACTCGGGGGTCTTCCTCTAAACCGAAATCTTAAAATAAATATTGTTTGTAAGGGGTGAGCACTAAGCTCTATAGGAAAATCCTCTCAAATTTGGACATGATTTTGAAAACATATAAACAAGTCGGTCTCATTTTACAAATATCATATATAACTTTTGAAAGAAAACAGTGACATTTAATCTCAAGTTTACACAATCTCAACATATAAAATAAAGAAGTAAAACCAATTCCAACAATAAGTCATTTCCACAACAATAACCAATAACCCACAACTTGTACCATTGCCCACAATGTACATCAAGCCATAACTTGTATCTTTCACACATTATGTATATGTACCTGTACTTGTATCTCAGGTATGATGCATGACATCGCATGAATAAATACATTGAGAATATCCTGACTCACACACATACACTCAATCCTCGCAAGGATATCCAATCTTTAGGAAGGGTGTATACCAACGCATTGGCAGGGACAATCTAACCTAGGAGTAGTATACTAATCCTCAACCTCGATTTTCATGTGAGTGAATAGTGGTTTGGTTATCTCAAGGCACCAACCCCACTACGAGTGATAGGGAACCCTCAAACCCACACG